CCCCCCCCCCCCCCCCCCCCCCCCCCCCCCCCCCCGCCATTCTTTGGGTCTGACCCCTCTTCCCCCCTCCCCCGTTTGGATTCTACTCTGCCCCACGTCAGTTCTGCCCCTGCCCCCCCGAAACCTCCCGTTTGGGCCTGACCCTGCCCACCCTGCTTTGTGTAGTACCACGCTCCTCCACTCCACCCTGGTTCGGGTCTGACACTGCTCCCCTCTCCGTCCCCCGCTACTAAGGGTCCTACACCGCTTCCCAGTTCAGGTCCAACTCCACCCCTCCTCCTCCCTGGTTTGGGTCCACCCTCGCTCCCGCTCCTCCACTCCAAGTCCAACCCCGTTTCCTACCCCTCCCTTCCCACTTCAGGTCCAACCCTGCCCCCTTCCCCTCCCTTCAGGTCTGACCCTCCTCCACCCCTCCTCCCCACTTCAGATCCACACCCCCCCCGCCCCCCCCAATTAGGGTCTGCCCTGGCTTTTCTGAATGGTGGACCCTTCAGCATATCATTCTGTAAGTGTGATTTTTTTGGCTTTTATGCACTGTTTAGATACATAATAGTGCTTGCCCTAGATCTTCCTTCTGAGCACGCTCAGTACCCCGAACTGTCTGTGAAGATACTGGAGCATGTATGTAATTCCACATAGATCCCAAAGCTTTACTCAGAAAAAAACCTAACCTACGGCTAGCAGTTGTTTCATGATGGAGAACATGGAGGGGGATTTAAAGTGTTTCTGGATTTAGTGTCTAGCAGGATCACATAAAGATTGATCCTCTGCCATTACAGATAGAAAAAGAATCCAAATACTACATAATTGCCAAAAATTGCAGTTACATGGCTACATAATTTCCACTTAGCCATATAAAGATGAGATAGCATATTTCCTGTTTAGTCATGATAAATCACTATTGCAAGTCAGTCCATATTGCTGATTTTTTATATCCTGCCAGCAGTTGCTGCTGTCATTCATATCTCAGTCAGCTCCTGAGAGGAACTGTTAATGGATGGCCTTGGAATAAATACATTAGATTTTTTTCCACCAATAACAAACTAAAGCAAGCCCTGGGCTTCTTGTTTTTCAGCTCTCTTTTTTCCAAGCGTGAATCCCTGGATGGTGGCCCTGAGCGTGATCCTGGTGGTTGTGTTAAGTTTCATAATCCTGAATGTATACCTCCTCAGAATGAAAGGTAAATACAGGGGGGGGAATGTAGTGTAGTTAGTGAATAATTTCATTCTAATAAATCAAAGAGTGCATGAATAAGATTTTACGGCAGCCAGCCAAAGGCAGGCAGGTAGGCACTGTGCCACACACCAAACCTCCAGCACAGCAAAGTGCAATTGCCAGGGGGTGTTGCTTGTCTGGGGGTGGGGGGAATGGGGGGCTAAAAATAGCCCCTGGTCCTAAGTGGGGGGTGGCACACAGCCCTCCAACACCCCATGCCTCCTGAAGCACACTGCTAGCCCCCCTGATTCCACCAAACCCTCTCAGACCCCTCCAAACCCCTTCCCGTGGACACTGATTGCCTCCACAATCGCTGTGATCCCCTGCGCACACTCCACTAGCCCCTTGATCTCCCATATCACCCACTGTGGACACTGTCTTCCCCCTCTTATGCTTCCCATGGATCCTGCTTCCCTTCCCAATCTCCCAGACACCTGACTACACACTCTGCCTACTCCCCCCAGCCACTGTGTGGACACTGCCTGCCCCGCCAGTCCCCCAAACCCACCACTACCCCACCCATCTGAACTTACTTTAGATCAGGTGGCCATTTTTAACTCTAACTGCCCCCTAACTTCCACAAATGTATGTACATACCATTAAGGAAAAGTGGAGCTCTTATTCTGTTAAATTTTCAATAATTTTATGTCCTTGAAATACATCGTATTTGACACACATTGTATGGGTAATCATCTACACACATCTACACTCGTATGGGTAATCAAACACTACAGAATATCTAATGTCATGCCCCCAGTAATCTATGTAAGTAAACAGCTGCTCAGCACCACTGGGGTAGGTGGGGGCTACTTTTCCACTGCTCTCTTCTGGGTCCAGAAGCAAATGAGCTTTTCTAGACGTTGAGCAAGCACAAGAATCTCACGTCATAGATTCATAGATTCATAGATGTTAGGGTCAGAAGGGACCTCAATAGATCATCGAGTCCGACCCCCTGCATAGGCAGGAAAGAGGGCTGGGTCTAGATGACCCCAGCTAGATGCCTATCTAACCTCCTCTTGAAGACCCCCAAGGTAGGGGGGAGCACCACCTCCCTTGGCAGCCCGTTCCAGACCTTGGCCACTCGAACTGTGAAGAAGTTCTTCCTAATGTCCAACCTAAATCTGCTCTCTGCTAGCTTGTGGCCATTATTCCTTGTAACCCCCAGGGGCGCCTTGGTGAATAAATCCTCACCAATTCCCTTCTGTGCCCCTGTGATGAACTTATAGGCAGCCACAAGGTCGCCTCTCAGCCTTCTCTTGCGGAGGCTGAAAAGGTCCAGGTTCTCTAGTCTCTCCTCGTAGGGCTTGGTCTGCAAGCCCTTAACCATACGAGTGGCTCTTCTCTGGACCCTCTCCAGGTTATCCACATCCCTCTTGAAGTGCGGAGTCCAGAATTGCATGCAGTACTCCAACTGCGGTCTGACCAGCGCCCGATAGAGGGGAAGTATCACCTCCTTGGATCTATTTGTCATGCATCTGCTGATGCACGATAAAGTGCCATTGGTTTTTCTGATGGCTTCGTCACACTGCCGACTCATGTTCATCTTGGAGTCCACTAGGACTCCAAGGTCCCTTTCCACGTCCGTGCCACCCAGCAGGTCATTCCCTAAACAGTAGGTGTGCCGGACATTTTTCCTCCCTAGGTGCAGCACTTTGCATTTCTCCTTGTTGAACTGCATTCTGTTGTTTTCTGCCCACTTGTCCAACCTGTCCAGGTCTGCTTGCAGCTGTTCCCTGCCCTCCGGTGTGTCCACTTCTCCCCATAGCTTTGTGTCATCTGCAAACTTGGACAGAGTACATTTCACTCCCTCGTCCAAGTCACTGATGAAGACATTAAAGAGTATCGGTCCAAGGACCAAGCCCGGCGGGACCCGACTGCCCACACCCTTCCAGGTCGAAACCGACCCATCCACCACGACTCTCTGGGTGCGACCCTCTAGCCAATTCACCACCCACCGGACTGTGTAGTCTTTAGACTCTAGCATGTACTGGCTTTTACCTGACATACTAGCACTCCAAAGATGTCCATTTTTTAGAGACGAGCAGGTACTAGATCCCATCCTGAAACCACTAGAGGGATTTGTGTATCACCAGAACATCTCCCTACACAGCTGCTCTTATAAACTTCACAATTTTAGAAGGCAGTGAACGTGCACACAGACTTGATTCACCCGGTCCCATATAATCAAATTCTTAAAAAGCAGATAAAAGCAAATTAGCACAATCAAAGTAGGCACAAAAGAGTTTCCCACTTCTCTAGTCCATGCACTCCAACAAGGATAGGAAGAAAAGGGACACAGCTCTCAGCAACTGGACCCTGGATACTACTGGCAGTATGCAGATAAACACCACAAAGAGGTTGTTTCACAGAGCACGAAGTACCAGGCTTACACTGATGAGGTTGTAGTGAAGCACTTAATCAATGTATCTTTTTTTTTTTCAATCCAGGAAACCTTCAACGAGAACTTGGTAAGTGTTTTTCTGTGTCCAACAAAAGCTTTTTCCGTGGTATTAAATGTAGCTAGACCTAGCGGTTAGATTCCTTCTCTCCATGCTGGAAAGAATAGAGAACTGGCAGCGACACTAAGATGTCCTTTAGTTGGGAATGCTTTGCTCACAGCCCTCAGGTACTCCTTCCTGGCCTCTGTCATTGTTATTAGCCCAGAGCACTGCCGCTGTTGCAGCAGTTCATGGAGTGAAATTGGAATATTAATGTAACCGGAGATGCAGCTATTAATTATTTTGAACAATGGCATAAGATGGCATCACAATGTGGTTGGGAATTGTTTCATAGTTGGTAGGGTTGGAAGGGACCTGAGCAGATCATAAAGTCCAACCCCTTGCCATGGGCAGGAAAGATTATTGAGGTCAAATGACCCCGGCTAGGTGATTATGTAGCCTCCTCTCAAAGACCCCCAGGGTAGGAGCCAGCACCACTTCCCTTGGAAGTTGTTTCCAGATCCTAGCCACCCTGACTGTGCAGTAGTGCCTCCCGATGTCTAGCCTGAACCTACTCTCAGTCAAATTATGGCCATTATTCCTCCTTATTCCTGGTAGTGCTCGGGGGAACAGGGACTCTCCCATTGCCTGCTGGTCCCCCTTGGCAAGTTTTTAGATGGGCAATAGATCCCATCTCAGCCTTCTCTTGTGGAGGCTGAACAGGTTCAGGTCCCCTAGCCTCTCCTCGTAGGGCCTGCCCTGTTGTCCCTGGATCATGCAAGTGGCCCTCCTCTGGACCCTCTCCATGCTGTCCACATCACTCCTGAAGTGCAGCGCCCAGAACTGGATGCAGTACTCCAACTGCAGGCTGACCAATGTCGCATAGAGGGGGGGGATCACTTCCTTGGTCCTGCTATTGATGCATCTGTGGATGCATGACAAGCTGCAGTTAGCCTTCCTGACTGCATCCCCACATTGGTGGCCCATGTTCATTTTGGTATCAATAATGACACCAAGATCCTTTTCTGCCTCTGTGCTGATGAGAAGGGAGTCCCCCAGCCTGTAGGTGTGCTGCTGGTTCTTCCCCCCAGGTGCCGCACCTTGCACTAGTCAGTGTTGAATCCCATCCTATTCTCATCTGCCCACCCCTGTAACTTGTCCAGCTCTAGTTGTAGCCTGTCCCTCTCCTCCAGCGTGCCCACTTCTCCCCCCATCTTAGTGTCATCTGCAAATTAGTAAAGAGACTTAAATGTGTGCCTCATGTATACAAAGCACCCTTAGCCATGGAGAAAATAGGCAGCTTTAGTCTATACTTACAAGAGACACTTCAGTCAGGTCAGAGAATGATTAATGGCGATCTGACCTAAATGGCAATAAGAGGAGTAACTCTGGAGCCAGGCCCTCCCCAGGAAATGGTACAGCAGGTCCAAGTCAGTGGTGTCTTTGGACACTGAGGCTCCCTGGTCCCTGCAATTTAGAAAGTGGCCAAGCAGCACCTAGAGGTTTGACATCACTTTGATGGATGAGGTCTGTATGGATTTACTGACACGAAAGGACAGTGTCCCAGTTAGTCTTCCCACAAGTTGCCCCATCTGTGTCCAGCATCACTCTGGTCATTTTTGGCTTTTGCTTGGGCCAGATGCTCCTAATCTGAGAATCCTTTTACGGCTGCATTTGTTCAGATAAATTCTCACCGCTATTTCTCTTTGTTTTAGGGTGGAAAAGAGCTGTGATCTGTCCAGGTAATGAAAGTTCATATTGAATCAATGGTCTCTTCCTGTTATTTCAATTCCCATTTTTCCTGTCCGGTCAAATTCTTAAGCTCACTAATAGTTTATGGCAAGAAGTGCTTTTTACTAAGGTCAAAGAATTCAAAATCTCCGATGGCCAGATTTTTTTTAAAAGAACCTAAACATCCCGTCCCCCCCCTCCCCCAAACAGCACTTTCTGTTTCCAACTGTGAGTGTAAATGGTAGGTTTTAACCACGGAAGTGCCAATTCCCTTTTTGTACAGGTAGAAATACTGTATCCCCTGGAAGCCTGGACATGTAACTATACCTGTGTCATCTGAGCATGTGCAGCAGGCTGTGTATTGGCCAGGGAGGTGCACTGCTACATAGCTGTCTCCCTTCTGGATGTGTATTGGTGTTTAAACCTCGAAAGTGAGAAATGGCCAGGAATATGTAACTAGCAGGCATCAAACTGAACAAGACGGGGCAACACCCTTGTATTTTAGCTCCTACATTTGCCTTCTTAGGACACTTGTTCAGGAAACCAGAGATCTGGGTGCTTTAAACATCATAGCACCATTCATGCTTTACCCCAGGTTGCCTTGGTATTCCTCCTGAAGCTGGCCTCTGATCAGTCAGTAGAGACAGAGATGTGGGGCCAGGAGAGAAAGAGCAAACTAGCTGTGTCTGGCTCAGTGAGGTGGCTGCAGCTGCCCAGGAAGGGATAGGGCCCTGGGTGCTAGCCTAGAGCCTTGTCCCGAATGGGTCTAAAATATCTGTGCTATGTGGCTCTACAGGAGTTGGGTACATAATAAGAATACGTTAAATCACTCATACATTGAAAGTATCCTCAGATTTTGGCTCCTGCAAAGAACTAGTCACTTAGAAGCACCATCTATCCTGTCTTTGAAATCCTGCCTGGCCCAAGTAGAGGTTGGTTGGAAGAGGTAATAGGAACTTGACAAAGAGGCCTGTAGGTCAGTAATGATATGGACACAGTTTTGATGGGAGGCTTTCGTTTAGCCTTAGACTCAAACATGCCTAAGGCACTTGGATATTTCTGAACATTGTACCCACAGCCCATTATTTCTTGTCTCTTCTCTGTTGCTGGTTAAACACGTTGACCCCCTTTCCTCACAGTGGTACCCTGTCTGCACGGACAAAGACTTACCAGAGCTGGCAACTGTAAAGAAGAAAGTTCAAATCCCCTCCTATGTGACAGTTCCCCAAAATGGTAATGTCATATCACCTGGAAGTAGAAGGAAACACTCTCGTGCTTCCTGCCGCAATTACTCCATAGGCCTGCCCATTCCTGCATTTAACTCAAGGTGGGATTTTCCGTTATATGAAAGGCAGCAGGAGCAGGTCTTCATTAATAGTCTTGTCATGCTTCCAAACAGTGTTTGTAGGGCAAGTTTTCTTTAGTATCAACACCTGTGTCAGCAATAGAGTTGTAAGAAACACCAAAGACCGATAAATGTGTGGTCCTGTGATAGAGAAACCATCACAGTGTCTTTGTCTTGGTTATTAATTATGGCACACTGAAGTTTTAGATATATTTTTTCCCAACGTGATATTGCATGCAATAACGCATTGTTTATACATCTCTTCTAATGAGTTCTCATGTCTGATTTTGTGCTTGCTTTCAGGGCTGGGACAAACTGCACCGCCTCTGGAAAAAGGTACAATGTTCAGATGATATCAATAGCCAAGTCTCCCCAGCACTGGGAGCCTATCAATTTAGATCCTTTAATAGATTAATACTATTTAGATTATCCTATGTATTAATTATTAATTAAGATTAATATATGTATTAATAACTGCCGATCAGAATGAGTGGTGCTGTGTTCTCTGACATTTCTATAGCAGTATTGGTGGATGGCAAAGAGGGTAAGGAATAAGGGATAGATCACTCCACATATATCTAGAGTTTAGCACTCTCCACCTATAGCATTGGCTTTTTTCTCTGTTGGAGGAACTTTTTAAGTTCTTATATTCTTACTGCGTGTGGAAACACATAACAATAACATCACAGATTGGGGACTGGTTCACAACTGTTGTTTGCCAGAGATGTCCACATGTATAGTGCACTAGCACTCTAGGTAAGACAATTACCCTTTAAGCACTGAAGTGCAGTGGCTGTGACAACCAGGCCTGGAACAGAGTGAGTACCCAGCCCAGGATGTCTCACAGCAGATGGGTTCAAGGGAGTTAATTAATAAACAGTGCCAACAAAAGAGGGGGGAAGAGAGGGCCAATAGGATTCTGGCCACGTACCAGAGTAGCCAGTTGCATCAGTGGGCCGGGGGGAGGAGGTGGGAAGAGCAGTGCAATGTGGGATGCCTGGAAGACCAGCCAGACCCATGTCACGGACCACTTGGTATCTGCTG